AGCAGGCGATCGTGGTCATCGGACATAATATACTATGAAACGTGTCTAAGCCATCATTTTAACTTGTGCAGCTCATTTTCAAAAACTGGAGTCGTCGGAAAAATCGTACCTCTGAGATGAGAAAGATCGTGGATTGAAGAATGTACAGCTATTCTTTCACTGCGGTGGTGAAGTAGTGACAAGTGGCGCGCTTACCGCTTGCGCGTTCCACGGGTCAAATCCCGGGTCGCCTCCCGCCCAGGCCAACCATGCCCTCTACTCCCGAGTCCGATGGTGAGCAAAGCAATGCAATAAAAGAATTAAGTTTTTGCATTTTTTTTCTGGGATGCTCCAGTCATTTTCCCTTCAAAAACGGGATCGCATTTTCAAAGCGATTGACCTGTTAAATGGTTCATGGGGGCTAAATGATGTAGAAGTGTTTGTGGTCTCGGGGGGGGGGAACCTGATAACACCCTAGTGCTTCAGAAGATTGGAAAGCTTGTTTCTGCTCAGGATCAAGCGATAGCTTATCCGGGTTCTGATCCGCAGACGATGTCATGATCCTTGAAAGTGACAGGGCGTGGAGAGGGTGTGGATTGAAGCACAATCATGACGGCCTTTCACCAATGATGCCATCCTGGGTGCGCAACCATTGACCACCCACTCCTTCCCTTCACACGCCCTATCGTTTGCAGGGCTGGCATCGGCTCCACACACATATTCTGGTGTCATATAATAAGGGTGATGAATTTCAAAGCCAAATTTACTGGTGTCAGACAACTAAGAACACTATCCTGAAGAACAAACTCAGGGGAAAGTTTCGAGGTTAAAGTTGAAGTGAGAAAAGAAAATCTCAAGAAAATGTGATGTTTGTTCCGTGCAGATTTTCTTTGTAACCCCTAGCCTCATTACTACTCAGCTATCAACAACATGTGTACCGCTCCCCGACGGTCTACGGTGCAAGTACAATTGGAGTAGGTGGTTGTTATGATTGTACGCCCCAGTGTTATATATAAACCGGTCCTGGCAACATAGAGGCATCTTGGTGAACAATTTCAAATAGCATCTATTGTCAGTTCATACTTTGCTGCGCTCTGGTTACTTCCGGAGTGAGAGCATAATGTTGCATCTCCGGACCACCGGAAGTGAATAGACCGTGTTTGCGTTCTGTGAACTTCCATCGTCTTGAGTTGCGTCAAATTTGGCAAATGTTATCATCCTGAGAGGTCTATTTAACGCGTATCAGCACTGCTCTTTCATCAATGACTGTTCCACATCAATTGTCATGATGTTATGTGGTAGATACTACTCTTTGAGTTTCATATTTTACTTTCCGGCCGCACGATACGTGCTCTATACGCACCATTTCATTCACTGTCTTTTGTCTTATTCTTCTTATTCATTCATCTTGCATTCTAATGCTTTTCGCATCCATCTTCTTCTCTTATGCTGTTCGACGGAATAACGTGCAGTTAATGTCTAGGTTGGATCAAACACCAGTCAACATTCCATAGCAAAATCACGTTTTTGAGAGACGGTTTTCGATGCCTTCTTGAAGACCAGAGACCCCTGCAGCACAAGTTCTTGGTGGAGGCACGTCATTGTTCAGTATTCCGCGGGTCCCTTCCCTTCAGTGACTCCACCCCTCCAGCGAACATATGCCTCCAAGGGGTCGCATATGGTGGCTGTAGCGGAGAGAGTCGTACCTGTTCCGGGAGATTACCCAGGATAACCCTACACTCCCGGCCAGGATATGCCGCCTCAGTTAGTGTGTTCATTACGTCCCTTCTGTAATCACCGGCCTTTGTTACTGATATATCTCGGATCGTGAATTTTCGGAAATATCTTTTTTCAGTATTAATTGGAACTGTTAACCTTTGAATAAAGGTTAATTCTTTATTAGATGACGACAATCACGTGACAATTTACCCTTTGAAACCTCGATACTTCTAGAATTACTTCCATTCAAGCTTTTCGATCCGTTCTTGGTGACTACTTCCTTTTTTCGCCTCTGTTTCACCTCCCAACTTTTCTTTTTGCCAACTTCGAAGTTTATTATCTTTACTGCACAGGTCTGCACTTCATATCCGTAGTTAGGAGGGCGTGGCTACGCACTTCATCTGAACATGTATTAGGGTGAGAGCGCATCCACGCCCCTCAGTTCCAAGATATGGAATGTATATTTCGGCTATACCGCTTATGTTCGTCGTCGCTGATTATGAATGATTGAAGCGTATACTCCGATTTTTCCGTTCGTGTCCCTTTGTTGCTTCCCTTCTCGCTCACCTTCTCATCTCAATTACAGGCAATCATGGTTGTTCTTTCTGCGAATATTGAAGATGTTGCACCAGTGCCATGCGAGTTGAAACTCGAATCGGGTCGACATATTCGTTACGTGGCGGCAAAAGATGCGAATCCACGCAAGGAGATCAGCGGAGGCGGCACTTTTGAGAACATCGAGCTTCCGCAGAGAAAGAAGAGCAGTACTTCTGAAGGTAAGCCTGAAAGAATTCATTTCGAGTCAGCCTACAATCAGGAACTGGAGAATCTTTGTTGAAAATCTAAACTCCTTCGGCAAACTCGTCGCAAAGAAGGGCCCCTTAGCAGTTCCACATGATGTTCATCTCCTTGTAGCGAAATAGTCTAGTCAGCTAAGTGTTGTCATTGGTTTTTAAGCAGCGTTCAGACTTCGTAATGACGCGCGTCGACGCGCTGTAATGTGCTGTAGCACGCGACGACGCGCGTCATCTTACGTTACAGCGCGTCTGCGCGCGTCGTCGCGAACTTTGAACGCTGCCTATTAGCGAACATAAGGCCTAAGTCGGTTTTGTACAGATCGAAGGTGTTAGCTGGCTGGAGACGGTTCTATTACTACTCTGGAGAATTGTAGTTTCTTTCAAATTCCAGCTTTCCACAATTGAAAAAGCTACTTAACGTCATGAGGTGACGGCAGACAGCCAACAAGATGTTTGCTGCGTTGTTGTAACAATTGCTTTCCGATTAAAATCAAAATAAACCCGTTTATTTGCTATCAGCGTCAGACATGAACTGTCATTTCTCGGGGGTAAACAGCAGTCACGTTGGGTACTAGCGAACTATGACCCGATAGAATATTTGCTCTGGGGCTGAAATGAATAAGTAATATTGTTCTGCGATAAGAAATACCCTTTGAAAATGACGTAAGATAATAACACCACGACTGAAAAATACCTGGTCAGTGGAGTCTGCAATCACCTTTGCAAACCAAACGCATCGCCCCTCCTCAATAGGCACCCAGATGACTAGTAAAGGCATTGGGTGATGTACTCGAGCACAAAAGTACAGTCCATACATTCGTGTGAGAGAAGGAGCGCTCTATTTGCCTGGGCGTTGCATCACGCCTAGTCCCCTGCGGACGAAGGGGCGTGTTAAACGGGAGGAGTTTGGCGCGGTGCCAAACCCGTTCTCTACATCTGTTGAAGCGAGGAAGTGACAAGACTGTATCATGTGTTTCGTTATCTACCAACTTTTGTCGCATACACGCTTCCACAACTTGTAGAGAACGGATTTGGCGCCGTGGCACACTCATACTGCCTGACACGCCCCCTCGTCCGCAGCGAACTAAAGTATACGTCTTTTTCTGTATCGGCAACTTTGCAGCCAAGTCTGTGGACACTCCCACTCTAATTTGAGATACGAACTTTACATGAAGAAGTAGTTCTCCACCGTGATCCATTTACGGCAACAATATATTCATGTTTACCAGTTGAGAATCGGCTGCAAATGGCCAGTTCAAGAGGCAGCTTAAAGTCTCGGACCATCGTTTTTATACTACGCGGTCTTATTATAACCGTAAATCCTTTTTTAAGTATAATGCAGTTCAGAAGTTTTAATGCAAAGATAATTTTAAGTCAGTGACAATCTATAGCCATAGATGAAGGTTTATTGGGCCGATACAGGACCATGCCCGAAGAGAAATCAAATGAATAAATAAATTAGCGTAATAAAAACGTGAAGTTTCAGGTGTCGACCAAAGTGTGCTCTGGGAGGGAGTTAACACACTCTGCCAGGTGATGGATGCTATTGTCGAGTCAGAAATGGAAACGGATTTCTTTGAGGGAAAAGACGTACTTGAGGTGAGTGTTCATTTTCGTCCTCGAGGCACAGTTAAACAGTGTGCGAACGTCCTCGAATGTCTGAAAATGTATTCATCTCTGGGAATGTGCCCTTAATAATAATAATAATAATAACCTCCCATGGTGTATTAGGAAACATACCACCGCAACCTGGTGAGGCTGAACAAAGGAGAGGACGAGCGCGTCTTCGTCAGCTATAAAGGGACAGAGGGAGGGGATTACGTGAACTATCCCTAGTGCTCTAAAAAGCTTTGCTGAGGAAAAGAAGTACATGAGAACGTGAAGAGTGATCTGATGCTATCTCGAGTACGTAGCCATCGAGCATATGTTCTTTGTTGTGCCGGATGCGAAAGCTCAGAACTTTCCGTCTGTAAAAACAAGGTATGTTATTCGTATTTACGTCCTAGGACTCGACAGATGAATTACCATGCCAGGAACAGGCGCATCTGTAAGAGTGGGCGATCATCGTCAGAACGAAATAATAAAATGTGTGACGAGGAGGGTGGGGGTTGTCAGTTGGTCGGCAAGCCGCACGCAAAACCAGTCGGGTATTCCCTATCTAGTTCACTTCGCACACAACAACTTAGAAATATTGAATGGATTAGGTGCTTAAGCGCATGGCATGCACGCGAGCCGAAGCCCGTTTGGCCGCTCTCGCCGCAGAATGGAATTCAAGACCCTTACTCCGTGGGAATGTGGTAGAGTGAGAGGTACACCACCGGCTGCTTAAAATTTAATACGCTGAATTGAGACGAAGCTTTTCTCTGCACTGACTATACAGTGATTCTTCCACCTATAACTATGACTTTTTTTGCTCAAAATATAGGCAGAATTTTCATGTTTCTCTAGGCAAGAAAGATAATAAATTAATGAAAGTGTTGCAGATTGGATTCGCGACTGGTCTCCCATCTGTCTACGCCTACGAAAATGGCGCTGCCGAAGTGGTACTGCACAGCAGTGTAAGTCATTACTTCTACTCTTGAGTAGCTCTAAGTTCACTCAGAAGATATGGCGCTATCCCAATGTGGCGGGACAGATCGATACAGAGCACGTTAACGTAGTTCGCGCGGGTGGAGGGTTGATGACTTCTAGGTCGAGGCTTTGTATCTTTTCTACTTTTCCCGAAAAAGGACGAAAAAGTCGTCTTGAAGCGCAGAGAACGATTCGCATGGGTATAGTCCCGCACAGAAGCGATAGTCTCCTTGAGCCCAAGTTTTAGTCTCCTTCAAGCCTAACCTTTGATTAGGGGAAGGGATACAGAGGCACTGGCCGATTGGCACCACCACCTGGTTTGGCGAGTCCTCATCTTCCAGGCTTACAGTCGTTTTTTGGCAATTTTCGGCACCACAGTTATCCAACATAGAAAAAGAAGTTTGGGGAAACGGCATAGAACGGCTCCTGACCCGTGCTCTTGACATTTCGCAGCTTCAAGGAGTTTTTCTGTAAAACTGGGATTACTGTAGTCCGTCGAACCATGCACCGGAATGCCTCGAGCAACTAGCTCATGATAAAACCTATGATAAGACCTGTTGAATATCTTATTCAACAAATGGCACTATTACAACGTGAAATAGTGATTTTGATTTGTATGATAAATCTCTGGTTTCAGTCGAAAACTTCACTCCAAATGTATTGCAAACCGACCCTGCGCAGGAATGCGATTCCGGAAAACAAGTGCAAATTCTCCAGTGGCGACCTCAGTCAAATGAAGAAAGCAATTGGAGGAAAGAAGTAAGAGAAATTGATGTGCTTACAACTTAATGAGACCTTATACCATTCCCATGAACTTTCAGCCTTCTTACTTTCATCAAACAGCTGAACTGAACATTTCGAAAACAGTTTCATTCTCTTAGATTTGACGTCATTCTGGCTGCGGAGCTCTTGTATCGCCATGAGGATGAGTTTGAGTTAGCGCACGAGATCCTCGACGAAGCTCTCAGCCACGATGGCATATGGTTTGTGATTTTTGCCTTATTTGGGCATTTTTTTGTTCGCCCTCGAGCTAAGGACGACTGTTTCAGCTTCCTGTCGAGTCCGACTCACTACTTCACCGTTGACAGTAATCTCGCCAGTTTCCTTGACCTAGTCAAGAAGTACAGGAAATTCGATGTCGTGGAACGATGGAGCTCACCTCGTACCGACGTCGTACAGCGAAAAGTAAGCTACTTCAAAGGATTTCAATCTAACATTCAATAGGGTAGACGAGCCTTCGAAATGGTGAAAATATGGCAGAAAACAGACAAAATGACAACAAACAGCTTCAGCAAATTATATATTGTGGGAAAGGAACGTCACTGGCCATTAACGCCTTATGGTTTATATACCAGAGATTGTCGTCTGACCTGTCCTGTTCATGTCGTGGCGCAGGGAAGAATATCTGCTAAACACAACCTCCTCAAGTTTTTCCTTTGATACGACACCCTTTAACAACCTACCTACGCTTCTATGGTCGACAATGCCGCAGTCAGGCGGGAGTTGTCAGGGGGCGTAGAATCTATCCACTGCCGGCCGGGAATTTACCAATAGTGGTCAACTGAGGCAGAAAACCCAGTGGTAAAAAACGCCGAAACGCCACCGGTGGGCTCACTCCACGCTTAATGGCGACGTTCCCTCCGGATTGCGGAGACATCAACTTTACCGATTTTCCCCTAACTTTTGATTGGAAAAAACCGACAAATCAAAGAAGATCTCCCTTTTACACAATAAGGACTGTCCCCTCCCCTGTTGGGGGCTCGCGAACATGGCGTTATATTTTGGGCTGCAGAGGGGTGTGGTATTTTGGAAAAGAAAGGATCATGCGCCGCACGATCCGTTGTTACGGAATCCTCTGCAGCGGGTCGTACGACGTGCCCTAGTCTTATTGAGAGCACCCACAGATATCGATAGCAGTACATTTGAATCCAACATTTCCGAAGTGATGCTAATAAGCACTCCCTCTTCGGAAGTTGATCATTAATATGGAGGCAGTCTAGCTAAAATACTCAGGTTTTCCCACTACCTACCATCTGCCCTGCAAAGATCTCGGAAAAATGAAGATCAGGTTCTGGAAGCTCCTCGCAATTGCACACACATTTGAGAGACACACATTTGAGAGTACTTACCGTACTGATCACATGAGGGTTACTTGGACAGTAACACATTCCTCATTCGTGAGATACTTCTTCCAAGATTACAAGAAGAAACGCGCTAAAGAAGAGCAAAGCAATGAGAAAAGCGCAATGCCCCAAATGACCCTGTCCTTACTTTCAGCACGGAATGTGCCTTTAGCGCGATTTTGGCTTTTGAACGAATTTATTGCCAATTTCTTTTAATCCATATCGCTAAAAGACTGCACGGTAGAATGTGTTAGGTGGTCTGGTGAGGTCAGGCTGTGCTTAAAACTGGTTCAATTTCAGGTCCTTCAACTGACGCGATCTCTCTGCTGAGCCTGCCACAGGACGCAAAGCAATAACCAGTTCAATCATGCTCTCCGTTAAACTGTATCTCCACGCAATTGATACCTTTATTCTTTGCAGCAGGGTGCGTATTCAAGGGCGGATTATATCGTTGTTTTAACAGCGCTAATCTCTAGGTGAGTATATGAAAACATCTCATACCGGTTTTTGGGCTCAATAGTCATTAATGTCCTTGATAGCGCACCTGTCTTTCATTGTCTTTAGCCATATCAGCAGCCATCTCATGACACTTCAGCGGAATTTTGCCATTAAAAATTCATAATTATTCAGTTCTTGTTACTTACATGCAATCTGCAGAAAAAATTATAACAGTAAGTATGTCTCTGATATCGCTGCTGACTTGGCTGGAGAAGTGTTAATACACCCCTGTGGGCTGTACTTTTGAATTGCTATAAGCACTGGCGTCCAATTTGTGAAAGGCTTTTTCTATGTTGTGAATGTATCTCGTTGACAAAATACCGCTCATGTTTAACGGTAGATCCATTACGGTTATTGCTGAGAAATAATTTCTAATATCACAAAAGTGGTAGTGTTGGCTAGTTCTAAACGTGTATTTCATAGTGTAGTAAGTCAAATTATTTTTAAGATTGTTCTTCTACAAGATGTTCTATTGTATAAAGCTATTTAATATGATTACCCTAATAAATATTCTTTAAAACTTTCCACGCACACAGTGCTCAATAGGGACTTGGAGTTCTCGACTGAGAGTTTACGGACAGCTTTCGGCATCGATATTTGTCTTAGGTGTCAAGCCACAAAGGTTGAAATTCGGACAACTACTTGCACAAGCCCGTGAATGGGAAAAAATCAAGTGAAATATTGAATGTGGCAGGATATACTGCGGCAGGTTTTGAGCTCCCTCAAAGGAACGCTTCGCGATGACTTACGAAGATGCAAAAGATGTAGTAGATGAAAAATGAAGTAGATGTATGGGAAGGGGAGTGGGCAACCTCTGCCGAATTCGCGGCGGAAATTGAAAGGCAAATGAGTTGAGTAGCTCCAGTGACACCTTTTTTCCAGTAACCGCCTCCCCTCCCCTCCAGACTCCGCCTTAAAGTCTACGTTTCATCCAAAAGCGATGCTTCCGGTCAAGTAGCATGAAATGGATGCGCCATTGTCTCTTGTGTGGGTAACGTAAAAACGGGGTTCATAAAAAGAAATCGTCTCATATGACTCGTCCCAACACGCGGTCTTTTGGCCTTTTACCCGTGCGATTGTTTGAGGTGGATGAGTCCTATAAAAGGCGTTTCCGATAATCGCTTTGGAATTTTCTAATCTCAGACGAGTCATTTGGCAACTTCTCTTCCATATTTCAGCACCATTACCTACGCTTTTTACCGTGAACCTTGCCTCCAACGCGCAGGGTTCGTGATAGGCTCGCACATGTACAATATTCCTAACCATAAGATACCTTTCTATATGCAGGAGCAATCCTCCACCATTCTTTCCATGTCAAAAGGATGTGAACCCCAAAAGAATGCTGAGTTATGGCTAAAAGTCGAACCCGCACCTCACGCATTCCAGGCGAATGCGCTATCCGTTACGCTACCAGGGCCGCTCTTACCCTCTCAGCTCGATTTCATGCCGTAGCTTACACCACTGCTAAGAATAGTGCTGACATACGACATATACGACATATATGATATACGACATGGAAGCCGTTCAGCTAAGAGGGTATGCGCGGCCCTGGTGGCGTAACGGATAGCGCACTCGCCCGGAAAGCGTGAGGTGAGGGTTCGACTTTTGCCCATAACTCAGCATTCTTGCGGTTACTTTCGGAGCGCGAATTGCGGCGTGAAACAGCAGCTATCGTGACATAAACTTCAAAATGTGAGGCCCATTCATAAAAGTTGCGAGCTCAAGGTCTACATAAAGTGTGCGTCAGCTGCCTAAGACTGTGTCACTCGCGTACGGATTTCCGGAGACTTCGCTTCGGTACTGCACCTGCCCAGCTGCCTGCTCAACGTCGTTACGGTTCAGGAATTAGCTTCTGCAACTCAACACTAAAGTCAAGTTTGCAGGTCGAGTTTCCTGTCAAACGGCTTGGAACCCACATACGTCTGTTTGAGGCACGCCACGCGTTTACAAGTGGCGAGTCAGATACTGAAGTCAAGATTGTAACACAGTGGCTCAATCCACCTAGCGGGCGGCGGCTGGGGCGTGATCCAGCCGCAGTATGAGTGTGCACACTGTTTGAAGCGCCGTTCTGCGAGCGTTCTTTTTGTTGAAAGCCGTAGTGTGACAAAAAAGTGGTAGAAAACGAGTATTACCGAAGGATTATAATACAATAAATGATCAACTTGCGCCGCTTCAAACGACCAGTGTGCAAGAAACGACTCTGTCACCGCGGAAGAACGTAGGCCGCACTGACACGTGCGCTGCCCAGGTCCGGGTCCGCATGATGAGGGACTACATAATAACACAGAACATGAAGAAAAACACGACTTAGCTAGGAACGTGCCAAGGGAAGAAAAGGGGTGCGTCGACCGGACCAATGACGTCCTGTGATCAGCTCCTTTTTTCGTCTTATCCCCCGTTTCTCAGCATATTCAATGGAGAGAGCTAGTAGGGGGACAAATCCATGAAATTGAACGGTAGAGAGACGCTGTGGAAACGGAGACGTGGTTTATGGGCAACGCCGTAAGCCCTCCGAAGCCGAGTGACTACATTTGTTTTGAGCATGGGAGCTACAACATCAAATTTTTCCTAAGTGGTCAGGTAGTAAGATTCCCCTCCTGGAGGCCAAACGCCAAAGCCCCGTAGATGTCCGCAGAAGGCAGCGTGAGGCGACACAACGTATGATTACGTTAAACTACCCAAAGACCGTTCAATGAGAGAAGAAGGCGAAGAAAGCGCAAAAGACAGTCAGTAGCGAAGAAATTTATGGCTCGATGTGTTCAACAACAGGGGGACTAGGTCTGGCGAGTCCACTGTGGGAGGATCTCACGCTCAAAACAGAGTGAAGGATCAAACGCGACAGATCTTCTGACCAAGGGAGGACGCAAACCGTTTTTGTAGAGTCCGTAAAGCGTCCGCGCGCGGACGATACCTGTATTTCGAGCGTTGGCCTCGATTCCCGACTTGCGAAAAACAGATCGTTGGCTTCAGCCGTTTTGCGTAATTTTGCGAAACTGCCTGGCTGAATCGGGGCTTTTTTTGTACAGAACACGATGTGAAGATGACAAGGTGAAGGTGCAAAGTGATCCCTACTTGCAAAACCGGGAACGAACCAAAAGGTAGAGAGCACCTGCTGAGATTTATATGCGCCTTCCAAAGAGCACCTATCCTCGCTGCGTTTTTCTTGACGTAGAAGATGGTTGTGCACTATTCTAAGGTCAGCCTTTGGCAGAAAGAGTGTTCGCCCAATTAGCTGGAGATGCAACGTGAGATGAGAGTTATGCGTGCGTTGAGAAACGATTATTCAGTTGTAAGATGGCAACTGCAGTCTACAACGCAGCGCTGGGGAATTGCCAGGAGGGGTCGAAATGCTGAGCTGTGAGTTGGAGGCGTCGGTGACTTATATGAAGAGAATTTTTTTAATGTGATTTCTCTCCTATTTCAGGCGCTGTATATTCGCACTTACGGGCTGGGAGTATGGGAGGAGGAGATTGGGGGCTGTCTTTTGGCTTGAGGCTCAGACAAAGGCGTATCTGCCCTAAGAAGAAATTTCTTTTTTATCGCATGAAGTTTTCCCGCGGTTGTTGACAGTCTTTCGCGCTTTCCTTCTTCCTAGTTCCAAAGACAGCCCCCGCGCTCGATGTACCATGGTCGTCTTTTCTATGTCGCAGTAGTACAGCGCCCGCCAAGCTAGAGACTGTCCGCACTCTTTCGATTTCTGCACAGCGAGGCCGAGAAGGCGGAGCTAGACAGTAGCTCGCCTGTAGGTTCTAGTTCTGAACGATGAAAACTTGGCTGCTGCTCGTGTTGTGACGGGCCGCCTTAGCTTGCAGTAGATGTCCGCCCGGACGGTAGGCCACTTCAGTTGTTCTAGTGTGGGGGGGGGGGCGGGCATGTGCTAGAATGTCCCATGAGATATATTGCTGCTCCCTCTTGATTACAGTTTACTCATGTGGGAGGGTAAGCTGATCATTCAATTCAAGCTCAGTTCCGCGACGGTGAAAAGCGCGTAAAGGAGGCACGCAGTGACTCAATTTATCGTCGATGCAAACTCGACGCACATCCCGCAAAATCGTGCGGTACCGTAAATGCCGCAAATCTCAGACACGCTTCGCGTTGAATCGATAATTTCTGTTTTCGCCTTCCAAGCAGTTTTTCCTGCTGGTTTGTTGTCTAATTTCTTTTTGTATGTCTCTTTTCTTGCGCAAACTGGATGTTTATGCAACTATGCGGAATGTGAGTGGAGAAGATTTGTGAGCCTAAAGGGGTGGCACAGTATAACCGCAGGCGAGGTGTGACTGTGAGGCGCAGGGATTGGTTGTTATATATAAATAAGTGTTCGCTGGAGGCGCTTCTTGCCTGTCTTATCCTTCTTGTGGGAGATTACTTATCAGTCTACTTGTTTCAACAATTGGACAACGCCAGCAGCTATCCATCGAGACTTTTATCGCGGGACACTGTCTTTAAAGGTGCGGGGTCAGTCATCGGCGCGCGCCAAATTTCTCAGTACAAACGTCCATATTTCGTTTGAGTGGTATCTACCCACACACCAGAACGTTGGTTCTGGTGGCGAATCCGCTCGGCCCCGCTACTCCTTTCCCACGTCAATGTGTCACCGCCTTCTTGAGGAAAACTATAAACAAATTTTGGTTTAGAAAAAAATGGCGGGAATTTGGGGAAACTTGGAGGAAATTCAGGAGGGGGAGATGGTCGTATTTTGCGAAAAACTTTCCTGGCATCTGGAAGTGCTTTGTGAGGCTCCACATGACCGGAAGGAGCATGTAAGGATCTAGTATGGCAGGTGGACAGCCATGCAAATAGAATAAGGCTAGGTAACTGTGTAACAGCCATTG